TAAAACCATGGAATACTAAACCATGGTATTGGGAGGTTATGATTTCCCCTTGAAATCTTCCGGTGATCTACCCAGCGGCCAGGTGTCGAGGGATGGCTGGAGCTCCTTGGCATGTTCCCATCTCCAATTCTTCGTCACCAAGTGTGAAACATTAGGTCCAAATCCAGATTCAAATATTGAAGAGACATTCAAATTCTACTCCATAATATTCATATCTAATTAATTATCATTATATAATCATACATCTAAAATTATAATATATATATATATGTATACACAGGTATATACATCTATCTTTTTCATGGTCCATGATTTTCCGTTATCCCCGCGCCCAAGGAAGGGCAAGGCGGAGATGGGCCTGGGCCGAGCAATGGATGCAGCGCAGAGCTTTCATCAAGGCCTCCAACTGGCGCCGGAGCATCAGGCGCGGCATGGGGTGACCCGGGGGGACGGGTGATGGTGGGAACCCCAAAACACAACAAAGATGGATGTTTAATGGGCGTTTAATGAGTGTTTTATGGATGTTTCATGGATGTTTAATGGATGTTTTCTGGATGTTTAATGGGTGTTTAATGGGTGTTTTGTGGGTGCTTAATGGATGTTTAATAGATGACACCGGTAGATGACACCGGAAAAAATACGTATTGAAGCAATAGGTCATGGTGAATCATATATATATATACATGTCTGTATAATGTATCATGATTTGTATAATGGATGTTTAATGGATCATATATTGGGGTGATTGTTGGTGTGTCATGTTGTATCTAGATATGAACCAATGTAAGCAATACTGGTAGGTAATGGATTATATATTTAAGTATCATGGTGTCTTGCTGTATCTATCTATCTATGTATATAATTGTGCTGTATATTCACTGAAACCAGGGATCTAAGGTGATCTAAGCATGAAACATGGCGCTTTGCGCAAGAACATATGGGAAATTAATGCAGCTCAAGACGGGTAAATCCACTTGGGGAAGTGTAGAAAGGGGGTATTGACATTTAGTACTGACATGTCCCTGGGTTGATTTCCACGCAAAACGATAAGGAAGAAAAACGATAATGATGACATATATGCCTGACACATGGGCTGATTTACTTGCATTGTGTTTGAAACAAAAAAAGGGAAAAGCAGGAGAAGTTAAGGAAAGGGCACCGTGAATCTCCAAAAATGATTTTCGGGCGCCAAAAGTCAGCAATTCTGCCACACTAGTGCGGGTTGAACCCTTAATTTTCTGCACGCTGAGTGGGTTAGATTCCGGTACACCAACTGCCCCTGCCTTGGATGAATAGAGGCTTATTCTAATCACTCCTTTCCTTTGCTTTTCCTTCCTTTCTTTTTCCTTCCCTCCTTTTCCCGTCCCTTTCCTTCCTTTCCTTTGAGATGGTAACTCTCGGTTTCAGGCAACACAGCGCGATCTCCTTCAGATCTCTAGACAGAACTTGTATCGGGGGTAAACCATTATCTACTTCTGGATTGTTTGAAGTCTGATGAACTTGAACGTCATGACTTTGAAACCTGACAATTTGGTTATTGCTTCAATTTTTTTAAGCGAAAAAGGCAAATTTCGTGAGTTTACGGATGAACCAACTTGACAGCTGCGACTTGGATTTGTTTTTGCATCGCCACATGGAGGTGATGGTAAGCTCGACGATTTCCTGGTTATTGACAGTTGGTGACGATCATAGTTGGTACTTCCACGTGTTTTTTGATGAAACCTAGGATAGCTTCGGACTTGTCAGTTCTCAAATCCTCTTTTTTTTGTTCCATGCAACCATTCGGAATACCTAGGAGATGTTTCAGGGGTTGGTAACTGTCCCATTTTGGGAATATTGGACATCACCTTATAGTAGCCATTATAGATTATATACCTAATGGTTGGGTGATGTTCAATGGGGACATTTAATGACCCATGTGTTTCATAAAATCTCAACCAAACCATTGTTTTGCTGGCAAACTCCACTTCGGAAAGCCCAAGATCGGGTCACCGATCCGCCAAGGACCTGAAGGACCGGTTTCCTGTCGAAGCAGCAGCCGGATCTTTTGGGAACGGGCCGTGGTTTTCTAAGGCCATATAGGGGATGGGATCTATATAGTAATACTCAAGACTTATGTGTTAGCTGGGTGGATTTTATATGATTTATTTGTTTTTTAGGCTAGCAGCTTCAAATAATGCTGATATAAATATGGAGGGCTATTTTTTCGTGGCAGGTTTGTTTGTTTTTTTGGGCTCCTGGTTCTATGCTTTCCTGTTTCTCTGATTTTCTGCTTTGCTACTTCTCTGCTTTCTGCTGTTTTGCTTCTCTGCTTTTCCTGCTTCTCTGCTTTTCTGCTTTTTTGCTGTTCCTGCTTCTTTGCTTTCCCTGCTTCTCTGCTTTTCCTGCTTCTCTGCTTTTCTGCTTTTTTGCTGTTCCTGCTTCTTTGCTTTTCTGCTTCTTTGTTTTCCCTGCTTCTCTGCTTTTGTACTTCTGTGCCTTTCTACTTCTACTATTCTACTGTTTCTTTCTCCAGTCATGTGTTTTTGCTGCTCTACTTCCTGCTCGTTTGCTTCTTTGCTTCCTGTCTTTACTGTCTCTTTTTTGTTCTTTTGCTTTATTCTGTTCTGTTTGTATCCTAAATGAAACCCTAGGGAGACCCTACCTGAAACCCAAAGAAACCCGAAAGAAATCCTCATAAGAAACCCTACATGAAGCCCTAACTGAACCCAAAAGAAACCATAAATGAACCCTAAAGAAACCATAAATGAATCCTAAAGAAACCATAAATGAAACCCTAAAGAAACTTTAAATGACACCCTAAATGACATCCCAAAGAAACCCTAAACAACACACTGAAAAAAATAAATAAATGAAACCTTAACTTACACCTTAGCTGAAACCCTAAATTGACACCCTAAAGAAACCCTAAAGAAACCCTAAATGAAACCCTATATTGAAACCCTACAGAAACCCTAAATGAAACCCTAAAGAAACACTAAATGACACCCTAAATGAAACCCTAAAGGAAACCCTAGAGAAGCCCTAAATGAAACCCTCAAGAAACCCTAAATGAAACCCTAAAGAAACCCTAAATGAAGCCCTAAAGAAACCCTAAATGAAACCCTAAATGAGACCCTAAAGAAACCCTAAATGAAACCCTACAGAAACCCTAAATGAAACCCTAGAGAAACCTTAAATGAGACCCTAAATGAAACCCAAACTGAAACCCTAAAGAAACCCTTAATGAAACCCCAAAGAATCCCTAAAGAAACCCATTTGAACGTTTAGAACTCCTGATAAGAAATCCCGAGAAGAGACCCTACATGAAACGGGAAAAACACCCTAAATGAAACTCTAAAGAAACCCTAACCCTAAAGAAACCCTAAATGAAACCGTAAAGAAACCTTAAATGAAACCCTAAATGAAACCCTAAAGAAACCCTAACTGAAACCCCAAATAAAACCCCAAATGAAGCCCTAAATAGAACCCTAAATGAAACCTTAAATGACATGAACGCCTAAAGAACCCTCAAGAGACCCACATGAACCTTTGAAGTACCAAAATGTAGCAAATACCATGCAAATGAGAGGTTGAAATGCCAAAATGCGACAAATACCATGCAAAATGGAAGGCGAACATGGCCAAATGTAGCAAATACCATGCAAAATGCAAAATGACCATGCCAATGTAGCAAATACCATGCAGAATGACAGGTTCTAGTTCCAAACTGTTGCAAATACAAGGCAAATGGTACCAGGAAAGAAAGCCAAAAAAATCCAAAACCCGAGGCAAAAAAAATACAAAAAACTATTCTACACCCATAAATATTCAAAGCCCCAGTTTGTTGATGATTAGTTCGGGGATGATACTACTGTAACCAAAATAATTATACGGGATTATCACAATCCATGAGCCGGGAATCCGGTTCTCAACCAACCAGTAAAAAGCAACGCCACTGGTTTTTGAACACAGCTCATATGTGCCATGGTCAAAAGTTGGATTAGATTCACCCATGAATTCGCGGATGGGAATCATCAATCCATTTTCATAGGGATTTATTTATATATATATATATATGTATATACTATATACTATATACCCATTGTGTTTGGATTCCCATCATGGGATAGATGACCATCAACCACAAAAAAAACACGGTGTTGACGCAGACCATGGAGGCGTCTGCGGGGGCGGATTGGAGTCGAAGGCGTCCCCTGAGATTTGGTGTATCCCAATGTATCCGACCCCCATACTACCCCCATATAGGTGTTGAAGCCTACGTAGCTTGGGATATCTCAAAATGATCTCCCTATCCATAGTGATTGATGGTGAAGAATCGCCCTATCCACCCCATGTATCTTTTGGGACCTGGGGGGATTACTTGAAGTCCCATTTGACGTACCCTCCGGTCAAACATGGCAATGGAAAACCCATGGAAAATTCCAGAATTTTCGAGTTGATTTCCCATTCATAGTTCGATTTAGTATGTTCAATTGCAATTGCCGGAGGATAATTTAGCCATTTTCACCAACTTTAGACCAAAAAAACGAACAACGCCTCCCGAGGTTTACAGCTGCGCGGGCGGAACCCTCGCCCAACATCTTGCACCAGTGACTTGGTAGTCACCATTTCGCAGGTTTCCCACATAGACGTCCTGACATGATAGCATTATATAACAAGATTGCAGAAAGGTATGCTTGTTGGTGGTTTGGAACATTTTTTATTTTTCCATATATTGGGAATGTCATCATCCCAACTGACGAACTCATATTTTTTCAGAGGGGTAGGGCTCAACCACCAACCAGTATATATAAATCCAATGTATCGATCCCGCCACAAAAGAGCTAGCGGCTACCCTGGCAGAAATGCAGAACAAGTGATTGAATTGTTAGGAATCAAGATGTTTTTTGTTGTTTTCAACATTGGATTGCGGTGACCAAGAAAAAACACTGTAAGCTTTCACTTGCAACTAGGCTAAACAAATACAAGTATGCACAGTACAACATCAGGTTTTGACAATTTTGACGGCTCCACGATCTTACCACAAGCGGCGTATTCCACATCGTTAAAAGGCAAGCGTTGACATTTATGACTCGCCACAAATACTTGGTTTCAGTACACCATGGTGTCCATAGCCCGTGGCCAACAGATCACACCAAGCGTCCTGGGCATTCCTTTTCTAGGATGGGCATCCCAGTTCGTAAGTGGTGGTCTCTACCAACTGAAATGATTATAGAATCCCTTCCGCCGAATCGTAACCCCCAGAAACCCATGGGTTTCCTAAAGGATTTACACATAGTTGGAACCATTCGGTGGTTGTTTCATATTAGGGGGATGGGATGAACCTATATGAGCCTCTATGTAATTGAATGTCCCCAGTTCTTTCTAGCTTGAGGCGAAAACAAAAAAATAACGGAAACCAGTTTGCCGTTAGGCTTGTTAAGGTCCAAAAACACATCGTTTCAAACGACGATTTGGATTGGATGTTTCCCTTTGTTTCCAGCTATTTCTGAGTTGTGTGATCCCAAGGTTCAAGGATCTGGTCTTCGCAGCACGACTGGGCTTGGAAACCTTGTTCCGAACCCTGGAGGATCCGCACAAGACCAATGATGCCTTTGTGGAGAGTGGCTCGGCGTGTCACGCTTTGTGGGAAGGTCCTGCTGGGATAGTGATGTTTCATGATTTTTAGCCACATGCTGTTTGGAAAATCATTGAACTTCATTGAATTTGAATTTCATTGAAGTTCATTGAACTTCACTGAAATTACATTTTGTTCTGTATTTTTGCGTTCTGAGTTTGTCCAGAAAATCCACATCAATTGGGCGATGTCAATAGGGAAGATGAGGATTTACACCATCGTATGGTCACCTTTTTGAAGCATTTGGTATGTGGATTTGTTCCAGAAATGGAGGATTTACCGCAAAATATGTTGGGCCGGGCCGGTTTTCCCGCACAAATTTAGTGAGTCGTGAAGCTCCGGCCGCAAAGTGGCGATGTTCCGGGCGGTACCCAATGGAATTGAAACCAATCGAAAAGACAATGGAAAAGCCCCTTACAAATGATTGTTGAAGGATGTTGAAGGGTCCGACAAAAAGGGTTTCCCCAACAGTTTCAACATGTTTTTCGTGTTTCCCGGCAACCTTAGTGGAGTTGCACCCCTTTGGGTGATGAGGCAACATGGTGGTGCTTGATGCTCAACTGGGCCTACTGGCCCAGACATTGCATGCAACTTGGTTGGTTTTCAGATTGCTCTGAGCAGTGTTGATTCAACTCGCATCAAATTATAGGTTTTTAAGCATCAAACATATGAGATCATATGGGAATATATACTATGAATAATTATGTATACACATATATATATATATATTTATATATATATATATATACATATTATGTAGATATATAGTTGAACATCATAGGGTTTTATGGTGTTTTTAACCATCAAACGTATGGAATCATTTGGTTGAAAATGATAGGGTTGTATGTTTTTTTCGACGTTTTAACCATCAAACATGTGGGAATATAGCTGAGAAAATGTTAAATGATGGTTGGTCGATGATAGTATGAGATATTTTAACAACCGTTGTTTGGTGGTCTATTTGTTTGCCTGCTGAACTATATATGTCCGTTGCATGATGATATGTTTCCATATGATGATGTATAAGATGATATATGAGGATTATATATATATATATACATACATATTTGTTGGCATATGAGATACGCCAAACTATCTTTAAACTTCAGGCCAAGAGGAAAACATGCGAAATTGATGCTCTGAAATCATCTAAAATCTAAGGTTATGTGTGATGTACATGAAGCTTTGGGTGGGAAGCCTGTTTGGATTTCCCAATATTTCAATTGTTTTCTTCATCAACCACTTCCTTCGATGTCACTGCACGGCAAAAATACCCTGTATCTATTTATGTACACATCTAAGAATCTATAACATTCTTTGATCATCTACATGTATGTATCTAACTATTTTTAAGTATTAAGTAAAGTATTAAGTAAAGTATGCAATTGGTTCATAAAAATGTGTATATACAACTATTACAATGTGTATATTACCCTCTGGATATGACTAACATAGCCATGGTATAGATGGCCCGTTTATAGATGGTTTACCTATTAGTAGCATGGTGGATCTTTCCATGGCTAACTGTGAGTCATAACCAGAGGGTATTATCTATCTCTGGGAGTCTGGGAGTATTTTCCGTTGTAAAAATTGTAAGTGTTCATTGAAATCATCCCACAAAATACTGCTGTATATATTATATCGTTCTACAAGTCGGGATATCCATATTCCGAGCGCTGCGCCTGGAGGTCAATACCTCAGTCCTCTTCGAATCGCCACGGCTGTGCGATGCCTACGATCAGAAGCTCATGGAGAACGGGAGAGTGTGGCCACATCGGTGGTGAAATGTGGTGAAAGTGATGAAGTACCCTCTGGTAATGATGGTTAATACTTGTTAATAATGGTGGATAATGGTTAATATGAAATTACTAGCATGGCTATGGGATTAATAATGTAATTAATAATGATATCCTCTGGTAATTTGTTGCAAAAAGCTATTGAAACCATGGCCCAGTCGAAATAGTTGATTTACCCACTAATAGCATGGTGAATTTCAACAGCTATGTAAACGTTTACCAGGCGGGGTAAGTGTGTGTTTTTGAAAAACATATGGGAACTGAACAATGGTTGTTCCCACTGGTTTCTGTGTGTATCCCAGGTGGATTTGTGAACCGCTCCCGCAGTGATCTCACAGCCATTGAACTGGCCATGGAATGTGGCCATGGAAATTGGTAAATTATCTACACAAGAATTGGGATTTTTCACCAATTATGATAGAGGTATCATCTATGGATATCTTGGGGTATAATTCGGTATGATATACCCTCTAGTTATGACTAACATAGCCATGGTATAGAGGACCCATAGAAATAGATGATTTTCCCAGCTATAAACCTCCATTTATGGTTGGGATGTTCCATGGCTATGTTAAATAACGAGATGGTAGCTAAATTATCCATGGCTATGTGAAATTACCAAAAGGTAATGGTGAAGCACGGTGAAGTGGTTCGTTTTTTAGTATCGGTCGTCCTAGCTGGTTTATGTCTATATCATCTATATCTCTATCGATGGGGCTGCATGGCACGCAAGTGTTGGAATGGGGTATCACCTTATTATGAAGTTTCAGCTTGCATAGGCAGGAACAAAAAGTTTGGAACTTCCATGGTTGAACATTACCCATGTCAGCATTTATGGCAAAGGATGGTGAAGTAGTGAAGTAGAGGTTCACTGCACAGATAACTTGGTTTTGTATGGTTTAGTTGTTAGGCTACTTGATAGCCATCCAATATCAATCGATACTATATCAAGGTTGGCCATCGGGAAACAGCAAAAGGATCAAAGGAACGAGAAGTATATCTCAAAAACAACAATACAAATTGTAGATTGTCGGATTGTAAACGATTGTTCTCAAAATTCTCAAAGTTGGTAACTGCTTGAAATCCTTTTTTATTAGGGGGAATCTCAGTTTGTAAGTGATTATTACATTACATGAAACCCATTCGATCAGGATCGTTCGCGCCTGCTCTCAACTGGTGGCCGGAGCACCTGGGGCGTTTTCGAGGCGGAAACCAGTGCAATCCACGGAAAAGCCTTGTTGGTTGATGATTGTAGTCATTTTGTTTGGGGAGTTCAACCTTGAAACTCTTGGATGTTTTTTTTTGGATATAACCACTGATGATTGGTTGTTGGTTGATGATTAGTTTGGGGACTATAAACCAGGATTTAAAGGGGGTTAGCTATCGAAAACATGGGGATAAAAGTGATAGATGATGGTTGGGGGTAGCATCATAAATTTAATCCATGAACTGGGACATTTGTTCTTAACCAGCCAGTTTTTTCAGGGACGACAGAGGGTTTTGAGCACTGCTCATTCATTTAGCGTGGGTGTTTCATCTTGAGCAATGAAGAGTAATGAGCATTTACTTGGACTTTGCAAGTGTAAAGTTGTACTGGTTCATTTATAAAGATCCAGGAAAGTCAGGAAACAAGCTGGGTTGGAAGAAATAAAACATGTCAAACATGTATATCCACCAGAAAAATCTGTTTTTTGGTTCAATCAACATGTATTTTGAACTGCCGCATGGGGATTCAACCATGCAACTGGCAGGTTACATAGGGAGGATCATCCCAATTCCTAACTGAGACTGGAGTGAAGTAAGCCACTGACTCGCTAGTCATGAAATCCCCATGAAATGCCCATGAAATCCGATATATATATATATATCGGGTGATTACTCCCATGAAATCCCAATATGTTCCCTATGTATTTCCCATGTTTTTTTTCCCAGAATCACGTTTTTTTCTTCCACCAAGATGCAGAAATTGCAGGCGGCTTCAGCATGCTGAGAGCATCACCCGGGGCCTCTGTTTGGCCGTGCGCATCGGGTGGCACATCCATCATGGCATTGCGGCTCGGCTGGGGGGAAAACAGCCATGGGGCCATGGGAGGGAAACTGGGAAAGCCGTTTAAAACACCATGATTTGCCTGAAAATTGTGTTGTTTTCATGTGTTCCACATATTTGTTGATGTTTTTTTGATTTTTTTTGTATGTTTACAGGAGCGTAAGCATTAAAAATGATGGTTGAAGCAAGAAGATATGGGGAATAAACATGAAGAAACCATGAAAAATAGGTAAACCAACGGAAAACCTGGCAGTGATGGGTACTCTAGTACATTAGTCTTTTGCTATAAATGGGGATATGTCCTAGTCAACCAGCTAAATGTATGTTCACAGTAATTCATGCTTGGCAGTGGTAAACCCTAGAATAGACCGTATCCCATGTACAATTTCAGCACTTCAGCACTTGGCGGTATCAAATACCGTACCCAAAAGAACGTTTGCTATGATTTAGTGCGCCGCATTACTGGCTGTATCCACCAGGTTGGTACTTCATATCTAGCTGACTATTAACGATTTTTCCATTTTTCCCGCATTTTAATCTCTAGTTTTGGGAGTCATCTAGGTGTAGATCGGCATTTATGAACTCCTGGAAAGACGATGATTCATTCATGATGTATACAAAAATTTGTCCAACTTCACTTGTTTGGTTGTAGTTGGTGAATCTTATCTGTCCAATAAAAAGTGTTAAAAGCTGTTCCGTGCTGTTCCCAGTGGTCACCTGAGGCGAAGCATGCAGCCACTGCTTTGATCATGTGTCTCAGCTTTCCGCGCAGTTCCGCGTGGCAGCGTGTTGGTTTACCCCATCGAACTACCATGGACCAATTGGTTGAACCCCGGTGGCCGATGGCCGAGGAAGAACTGAAGAACATCGGCGTGCACTTTTGAGTTGACGTTCATCGCGGAAATCAGCATGTTTCAGAGATAATTTGCACATATATATATATATATATGTATATATATATATATATATACGTATATATATATACCATTGTATCATTTAGATTGTCCCAGTTTTTTGAAGGAACAAGGACCCTAAACCACAAACTATCCAGAAATACTTCAAAATGCTCCCCTAGATCATCTGAAATCCACTCGGTTCAACCATGAATCACATCAAACTCCAAGTAAATCACCCCAGAGATCGAATCACATCATCTTTGCCAAGCCCGTGGCTGGCTTAAAACGTTTGGCCAGTTTTGGTGCTTGGGGGGGGGGGGGTGGTGCACGACTGGTGCAAACCTGGTGTTTGGCCATTTTTTGTGCATCGACGAGCTGGTGTTGGAAAACACCTTTTTTGGTGTCAAATTTCAATTTTTTGGTGAAGAGTTGGTGCTGAAAATCCATTTTTTGGGGTTCAGAATGCATTTTTTGGGGTTCGGAAATTTTGATGAAATTTCTTGAGGGTTTCCATGAAGTTGCCAGGGAAGCATGGAGGTGGTGAAGTCAACGATGTGTGTTTTATTTCCCCCCTTGCACCAAAACTGGCCAAACTTTTAAAGCCAATCAGGGGATATCTAAACAGATTATTGTTTTTCAGGCCGTCTTAGGCTTCGTGCTGTCATCAACATGCACATGACAACTTTACACACAGGCTCAAGGACGAAAAAATGATAGGCACCGTCTAAGTGCCCTCTGCCGTGTTTGACATGGCTTTGAGTGGGCTTTACAACGATGGGAACTTGCAGAAGAGGCCCGGTGACCCAATCACTTCACCCAAATCTGATTCCATGTGGAATATATTTTGCCAAGATATCATTCAGCTTGGGGGGGGCAGGGCAGGCACAAAATCACACCACAGAGTCACAGAGGATTGTTTTCCCAACCAGCCATTGGCAGGGACTCCAGCAGCAGCCGGTCACGTTCAAGGTCCAGGTATGGCAAAGGGTTTCGATTTCTATTCCACCAAAAATGAAGTTTTAGTTTTATCATTATCTTTGAGATTGATGCCTTCATTTTCAGCGGGTTTGGAAAACTATTTGAAAGAGCTGATGTTTTTTTGGGGGCTCGGAAACTTTGATGAAACTTCTTGAGGGCTTCCACGAAGTTGCCAGAGAAGCATGGACATGGTGAAGTCAACGATGTGTGTTTTTGTTTCCCCCCCTTGCACCAAAACTGGCCAAACTTTTAAAGCCAATCAGGGGATACGGGATATTTAAGCATACTATTTTTCTTCAGGCCGTCTTAGGCTGCTTGCTGTCATCAATGTGCACATGACACCTGGTGACTGGCAGGGATCGAATGGAAGATGATGACGGAGCCAGTTACAGGCCAAGGCCCCACCTATTTTGAGTTTCTTTCCCAAGACTGACTGGATGTCATCAGAAAATGACAGCAAAACCATGCAGTTCTCCAAACATATGAGGCTCTTTTTTGGATGATTTTTTGGATTGGATCAGTCACCACATTGTGGATTCTTAAGCCCATTTCATCTGCAGGTGCAGCCTCCCGCAGGAAAAGGACAAAATCTCAGAGCTTGTCCGTCAGAAGCCCGGCAAGGGCTACACTGGGCTTCTGGTTCGCCACGAGCATGCTGTGAAATTCGTGGAAGGTATTAAGATCTGGGAAATTAGAAGCTGGGAAGTGAAGTTTTTGCGTCCTGGAGATTGCATTGTTCTGGTCAGCATGCAGAAAGGGATGCGATGTGCAATGGCTATTCTTGAATATATCCAGAGCACGCAAATACAGGATGACGACTTTTGCAATCACTTTGACAAACATCAAGTTAGCGAGGAAACCTACCGGGGGATGAAGTCATCCTGGAGAAAGAAATTTGGCCATTCCTGGGCCTGGCAGTTCAAGTTGATTCACAAATTTGAGAGACCATTGCATTTCAGCCGATCTTTCCCCGGCACAGAAGTGTGGTTGCACTTCACTCTGGATTGCCTTTGCTCCGACCCTGCCCCAGCTTCTGGGCCAGGGACCATTTCAGGCCTTGGTGGGCCCACAGCTGAAGGTGACACATGTCAGGACCACATGTGGCCTCCTACTCAATGGGCCGATATCTTTTTGCGTACTGTGGGCCTAGAGGTGGACTCATTTCATACCAACTTGGAAACGCAGCAAAGCAGCAACACAGTGTTTTTTTTTGGCTATGTAGCGAAGTTCTCCACCTTTGAGAGGGGCTCACTATCTCAGAACCCTTTTTCTGTTTTCTGCTGAGTTGCACGTCTTTGATTTGAATTTCGGATGTTTTTCTATGGTTTGATGAGGGACGTGGATAGACAATATAGATAGGACAACAGACTATATAACTTATAACATTATATATACTACTACCAGGTTGATGATTGCTGACCTGACCTGTCCTGCCTTCCGATTGCCTTCTTTGCCTCAGGTAGTGTCGACAGCGTGTACTGGCAGTGGAGCCCCAACACATGCGCTTGAGCAGTTGATCACCAGGAAAGGCTTCAATGAGAGGGTTGCTTCAGAAAAGCATGCTTCTCGTTGCGCAATTGATTTCTTTGGAAACATCAGTCATGTTTGTGGTCCCAATACCATTCCTGAACATGCCAAAGTTCCAACAGGAAACCGTGTATCTGTGTCATGTGGCCGGATCTGAGGTTGAGGCAGCACGGTGGATTCTGGAGAATCTCGATGTTGGCCATTGTTTCAAGTCTATTGTGAGCGCCAGGACCAACTTTAAGACTGAGATCAAAATGTGGTTGCATCATTTTCTAAGCAGTTTATAATTACAGTCTTGACTTGACTGCGTGATCCCAGACGATTTTTTGTGAGAGTGGGTGGCTGCAGGACCGGCGGGTATTGTGTAAAGCACAAGTGTCATTGCCCTCCAGCTCGCTGCTTCGCAGAGGAGGTCTGAAACATTTTTTTCCCCATGCGTGTTGCATGGTACACAGTGCCATTCACATCATATGCCCAGCACATTCCTGCCAGCCCGCAGGATCATGTGTCAGATGACCTCTACATCTCAGGATTCACTTGCAAGTTGTTTTCTCAGGAGAGCCCGTCACGATACAATCATCCTTCAGTAGACTCTATGTTTACCAATCCTGTCTTTGCCTCTCAGCTGTTTTACACGCCGCCGCAGTTACGGAATTATAGCATAAGTTATAATAATAATATAATATATATATATAATATAATAATATTAGATAATATATAAAAAATATTATCTTATATTTTTATGTATTTTTTGTTTTGTTTTATTACTATATTTTATCTATATATAAATTAAATAAATAAATATATATATATATATTATATTATATTATATTTGTTCAATAATTTATAAATATATATGGGGCGTAGGGACAGATAGGCAGTGACAGAGGCCATTGAGAAGCAGAACGGAACAATTTTCATGTGGTTTTCACAGTTTCACTTCATACTTTGGAGTTGAACGGGCTTCTGAATTGCCCGCTTCTTAGGAAGACCGGGCTTTGCCGTTCTTGGAGACATCCAGGTATATCAGATCTCACAGACCGCGGATCCCTGGGTACCAAGTAGCCACAATATAGTCATCAGCAAGCATGGTATGTCACATGAAACATGCAATTTGTGAATAGCAGGTGGTTGTGTGCCTGTGCGCGCACATTGGCCCAGGATAGCGTTGCTTGAGAATGTTGCTGGCTGCCTGAAGCAGGGCAGCAAAGTGTCGGCAGACAGTGACGGAGGATACAAGGCGCAGCTGGGATGGGCCACTATTTGTCCATGACAGCTGGATGGCATCGGTGTTGCCACCTTCAATCAGTTTTCATTCAAACCTATTATGCGCTGTCATCAAGTTTTCAATTTTCAGATGGTAGTTCCTAATCATACAATGACTATAATTCAATAATAATGACAGAATGTGACAAGGTATGTTTTGATGTTCTCTGCCCGCCGCAGCAGGAAATGCCATCATGCACAGGTGGGACATTAGACAAACTGTATGTATCAGGAGTTAAAATCTATCTCAACCCCCCACAGCAGAGAATCAACCTTCGTTCACAGTAACCCTAGTTCCCACAGCGTCCACAATCAAAATAATCTATCCAATCCAGTACATTTGCTGGTATCTTAATTCTTTCTCTGTGCTAGTGCTGATGCGTTGTGGGCCCTCTACCGAAACCCGGAATCGTTGAAAAGCTCAAAGAAAAAGTCGAAGGGCAACTCTCAGGAACAGGACTCGCAACCACAGGCTGCACCATCATCTACAGCATCTGTGTGCGAAAGCCAAGAGCAAAACCTGTCAGAGCCTTTTACTTTGCCTGATGGGGATGATCACAACAGTGATTTCAACAATGATGTCATTGACAATGGCATGGGTCATGATCTTGGTTCTGATGAAGACCTGTTTGGGGATGATGGGCCAGACGATCCAGATAGCCCAGATGAGTCACAGGGATCTGAGTCAGAGGGTGTGGCCCAACAGCCTAAGAAATATTCAGTTGGCAAGTCACATGGAGCTTTTGTCAGCCTGGGTCGGGCAAAAGCTACACTTGCAAGGGCCCACAACCTGATAGAGCACCAAAGCAATTTGCAACAAGACATTGCTCGCGTGGTTTTCAGTCATTATGGTCGGGGAAACAATGTTGGGAGCAGACACCTGTATCGCAGCTGAATTTGGCAAGGTAGCATTTGAATTTCAATGGGTATACTCCTACTACTTTCGATGTAAAATTTCCACCCAAATAAGATTACCAGGACACAAACGGATTGTAATTTTGGGGACAGCGGTGTCTTTTGCAGGGGTCCACAAAGCCACACGAGGCAAGATTATTCGGTTTTCTCCATCGGGGATGAAGTTGTGGGGTACCAGAAGGAGACACGTGGGGACACGCAGCTTTCCAGAGCAAAGAAGGTCGCCATGGTGTCCCACGTCAACGGGCAACGGCAATCCTTGCAAACCTTGCTGTCAAAGGGCAATGTTCGTCATCTCATTGTGACCCGTACATTTGATGACACGAACGTGACAATAGCACCCCATACACGAACATCCAAGCAACTTCCCAGTTCAAATGCGGATCCAGAACTTGAAGAGGGGGCTGATGCCACAACTGCTGCTGGAAAGCTTGGTCAGAGGAAGGTGGGTTCTTTGCTTGGTATTGTCCAAAGGGTATCCCTCCGCTCTTCCGCAACTCAGACTTTGGACACTGCCCAGCTACACAGTCCATCACAAGTCCTTCCAAAGGCGAGGGCGGGCAGTAGAGCTGGGCCAGGTGGCGCAGGAACTTTGGCATTTTGAATTTTGAGCCTAATCCAATCTAATGTAACCAACTTTAATTCTAAGAGAATCTGATAATTTAACTTCCCAACCTTCAGTCCAAACCAGCTTGTTGCAACACTTGATCTTCTAGCCATGAGACCATGTGCTGCTGATATTTTTTGGGCCCGGCGAGAGGCCAACGCCGCTACTCTACACGATCGGGTGTCGAAATGGTCTCTGTTGTCCCCGACTTCGTGTCCAGAAGCTTGGGGCGGGGATGATACCCATAGACTGCTTCAGAGAATTCCAATTCGTGTCCAGATCACTTGTGCCCCGTCACATGCTGTATGTGCTTGTTTTTCCTTTAGTTGTCTACTGCTTACTGGTTTGTTTTCTTTATGTAGGCATTGGCATCGCGAATGCAGACCATGAATTTTTATGCATATTGATCCAAGACGGGGGAGAGGTTTAGAAGTTAGAAGTTAGAATCCAAACCTAGTCCTGAGGTACTGACTCCTTGGTTGCAAATCTTAGCGTTGCGGGGCTGGAGCAGGAGCAGTTGGCCTCACACGACAGTGAAGACAGCGCAATGGGCTTCGCAAGTGTTTACATTTTTTGCTTGCATCATCAAGCTTGCCTGGCAAAAAAAACAATTATCTTGGGCTTCGAAGGCTTAGCATCAGGCAGGGGGCTGTTCTAAAGCAGTAGGAATCGAGAGGGAATGGTTAAATAGCACCACTGGTTTTCAGTTCCTTCTCTCATTTGGCAGGGACCCAGGCAAGTACAGCCAGCTAGCCAAATTACCATGAATCCTGCTGGTGTAGGATGTGTTCGGGCAGCCCATTCGATGCAGTCCTCCTTGTTTAGAACACGTTTCGAAAGTGCAATGGACTATGTAGCTTCTCAAGGAGAGCGCAAGTGTGTGGCAACCATGCCAGAGCGTGTGATGCAAAGCAAAGCGAAGAACCGTCACAAGCTGCAGTTGTGTGCAGCATCCATGTCAGAGGAGGAACAAGACTTTGTTCTTTCCATGTTGAATGAAGATTGGGATCATGAGTTTGGTTCCTATGGACTCATTCATTACTGTGAGCCTGGTTGCTGTGAAAGCTTGGAGTCCTGCCGAATGCGTTTGCGAAAGGCTTTGGAAATCGCATTTGGGTCTTTTTTTGAACCACCCTTGATGTACCGTTGGAAGGGGTGGGAGCCTGCTTCCCACTACCTTACGCGGGGTCTTGCCATTCACAAGCTCTTGCTGTTTTTCTGGATGAGGTGCATGTCCAGTGATGACCGGTGGTTTGATTTCTGCTTCAGCAACCTTTTGTTTGAGCGCCCCGAGCTTTTGAATGTCAAAGTGTCCAAATCCATCTTAAATTTTGTAGGTTCCATTGGGTCAGCTACTCAGGCAAGCGTATAATGATGCTGATGGTGTAGAGGATCTACGGGAGGACAACCCAGATGTTTCCCCAGCAGTACGACAACAGGTGCGCTTGACCAAAGTTTATCAGCTCTTGCATGGTGACGGAGCCATGGTTACTAGGCTGCTGTAGGAACTTTAAAACATTTGTTTGGTGCGGTTCCTCATTTGATACTTTTTGTGTTGATTCATCAATCACAAATCAGAGTTTTAGCCGCCACTAGCGGCCCACCACTTAAACCAATAGGAAAAATACAATGTTCCACAAGTAGCTACAGCAAATCCAATGCAATTTTTGCCCAGGCTATGTTTGCCAAGTCCATCATTGTGACAAAACCACTGTCTGATTTGATGGATCAGATATCCTTTGTAGAGTCCATTCGGCACCGGCTGCGGTTGCGACGTTGTGGCTTGGGTCTCCAGGACTCAAGTGTGCAACACACGGAAGCAGATTTGGCCGAACTCAATTTGCGTCTCATTTGCGGGGAGGAAGGGTTCAAGACCGTGACAGAGTTCTACAACATATTTTTGAATTCCAACGTTGAGGGCTATTTGGACGTTTGGGGGATTTCTGTCATTGATTGTGTGGATTGCATTTTGTTGGGAATGGCTGACACATGGCGGCGCTTGGTCTTGCCTTTCAAGTGTCAACCCTGGCAGTGCTTTCGAATCTCGCGTATGTGTGCAGACACTGGGTTGGCTTTTCTTTCCAGTGAGCAAACCAAAGTGTGCAACTGCTCAGCATGTGCAGACACTTTCTTTTTCCAAGCTTCTCGGTTGTGAGGATTTTGACCAGGATAAAATTTTGCTATGACTCAAGCTTTAGTGATCGTTATAGTCTACGACTTTGACCAGACTATTATCTTAGCTTGATGTTTTTAATTACAAACATGTATATGAAACCACATCATATTACCGAAGTGCTTTGCCAAATGCATGCCAAAGTGCTTAGATGACTTAGATGTATTTGATATGCCAGAGGGGTCTCAAGTAGGGCCTGTGACCCATGAAAACCTTCAGGTTTTGATCAGAAACATCTTCAAGCCCGGGGCCACTTTGGGAGAACAACGCAGAGCGTTCGAGTCGATGAAATTGTTGGTGGTGGACTTACTTTGTGATCTTCCAGCTTCTTCGGTAGAGGCCGGTAGCGGTAGAGGTGTGAAACTGTAGTAGGGGGAGTATTGCCATGGCGGCTGGCCGCAATCTAGATTAGGAGAATTGAATTTGCTGTAGAATTTGTTTGGGACTCGGACTCACTTTGTCAGGTACAGAAGATGCAGGTACAGAAATTGAACCCTTCATCATCATTGTGTCAGTGAATCTAAAGTGAATTACAAATCCTTTGCTTAGCTTTCACTCATATGCCCATAGTCATAGTGGCTCATAGATCAAAACTCAAAGCGCCAAAGCTTTGAACACTTATTATTTATTATATTATTTATGGTCCGTTTAAGAATGTGGCAAAGCACCTTCTGCTTCAGGTGGAAAAGCAGCATGCCAACGTCCAGCTCGACCTCAAGAACCCAAACCATTCTTGCAGACGCCCCAGCTCGATCCAGCAACAGGCTTTCATCATGAGTGTCGTTCTGGAGCACAGTCGCTTGAAGTCAGCTGTTGAGGATGAGGTTCTTGGTCCATCCAAACAAAGGGTGTTTCGTGTCTTGCGTGGTCGGCTTGTTAGTACCACCGCTCCAGCTGCAACTTTGTCACGCAAGCGCAAGGGCCAGCGGCTTGCCCCCCTCAAGCGGCGGACTGGGGTTCTCCGGGGTGTGACTGACTTTCAATGCGGGCTAGTGAGGAAAGCCCATTTCAAAACTCGGCGTGTGTCGGGGTACAATGCTTTCCAGGCTGTATGCAAGTAGCTCAGTTCAGCTTAGTTCCTCCGGGTCTGTGTTGTGGCACAATTCTTATTCATGATTCGATTCACTGGGTACGATTTCAAGCAGGGAGATGGTTTTGATTCGATCCATTTCATGTGGTCATTTTTTGAAGGTGCCCTTTTAAATTCTAAACCTGTTTTGAGCCCACAAAAACAAGGGCACCATTGAACAAGTGATATTTTCAACTTTTAACCTCTGTTGGTAGTTTTGCGGATCCCCTTGAAAGACATTGTGAGGCAAGAATGGGCAGGCAAGACCAAATCTGATTGGTCAGACATGAACAAGATGATTGCTGCAGCATGGCGCAACCTATCTGAGGAAGAGAAGGGTCATTACCAATCAATTGCTTCCGGAATTCAAAATCGTAGGTCCACTCTTGCTGGCACACCGTTGAATCAAGCAGCAGCCGAAGGTGAGGACTCGACTGCACCCCTTTCCAGAAACCAGAAGCAGCGACTCAACCAAAGTAGGCTTGATGGAGCTTTGGCCCAAGTGGCACATCACCCTGCGTGGAAAGCGGGGCTTGGGTTGTCCGATCACATTTCGGGTTTGCGGGCAGAACTGGTTGACATGAGCATGGCTGAGACAGATGATCGGCATGGAGGGTCGTCAAAACTTGAAGAGGCTGTTCAGAACTTCTTTGCTTATGATGCCAAAATTCTTACCAACCCGAAACTCCCACCATTTGACAGGGCATGCATGGTGCTACATGGGGGTATTTGTGCTTCTAGCTCCCTTTTCAAGTATGTCTCGAAGCTGGTCGAAGAATTTGATTCCTTCTTGGCATGCAAGGACAAGTTGTCATCCAGGGTTTTGATTCGGTGTGACATCAAACTGCGTCAATGGATCCCTTCACGTGCTTCACGGCAGATTCCTGAACAAATTTGTGAGCCCATGTGGTTCGCTTTGGGGTGCGTGGGTAGAAAGCCGAAAGCTCATGTTTTGATCGATTTGGTTTCGCACCCTTACTTTCGTTTATCTTTTAGACAAGTCAATGGCGGCCCTTCTTTGCAGACTTCCCACCAATTGTTTGAAAGATTGTTGAAGCAGCACCAGAGCCTGGGGCAGCCACTTCAGCACTTCGGATTGCAGGTACTTTGGCTATCCGAATCAGAGTCACCATTTTGTCAAGTTGAATGACTCAGAAGTAGCAGTAATTAGAAGTCCAAAGGCGATCCCTATTGTAATTATTTATTGTTATTACAATTTCGGAGCTACCAGGTAGTGGCTCATGATGATTACTCAGCTTTGTTTGAAGAGGACGAGGTTGGCTTTTATTTCGACATCAGGAAAGCATCCAACACAGACGTTTTCCAAATTGGCCAAGGGTATGCCAACCCCAAATCTTCAGTGCAGAATCTTCGAGCCACTACAGCCCGGCTGAGATTTGGGCTTGGTGGTTTGGTTGATCCACCGCAGAAAAAGGCCAAACCAGCACAACCGGCACATCCCGGTCCGGCCCCAGGAAACCAATCGCTGCAGAAGCAGCAGCATCGCGCTGTTCATTTGTTTGGTGAGGTAGCCTCTGGGGAAAACTCTTCTGCTTCTGCTGCGGCGTCCTCATCATCAAGAGTGCCGGCAGCACAGACTGAAGACAGGGACGGTGACCAGGATCTTTATCCGTTGCATTTGTCCAGAGAGGCTTCCGCTGAGTTCAGGACTGCTGCCATGTCTGCTGACATGGCTGCAGCAGATCAGCTGTCAAGTGAGCCTCTTGATGACCCCAAGGAAAGACCAGGAAAGACTTTTTTCCACACCAAACTTGGCATTTTGGGCATAGGGCATGTGAAACGTGCTGGTGTCAAATGCTACCATTGTTTTTCCCTGATAGAGAAGTCAGACTTGCGTTTCGAATTTGCCCATGACAAGCGGAAGCCACCCCGCGCCATCCACACAGGGTGTCTTGTACAGATGAATGACGAAGAGCGGAAACATTCCGTGAAGACATTGGCTGGTCTCCTGCTTTCCGATCTTCCTGCACAGGAACGATCTTGTTGTGCAGAGGCAGTGGCAGTGCTTCGCTCTCTTGGCTAGTAGCCTGCGGCCAGATTTGATTCATCATTTGCGGGGGTGACAATTTGAATTCCAACCATGAAATGCGACAATCACCCCAATTCTAATTTACGATCCCGGGTCTCTCATTGCATGTTGTGGCCCAATGGCCCCCATCCAGCGAGGTGGGCTAATTAGCTCCCATGCAGCCAGGTGTCCAGTGTGTTTGTTCAGTGCTTCAATCTGTTCCAAATTGCCCATGCATGTCAGGACGTGATCTGCGGAAATGAAATGTTGAAATTCTTTTCTTTATCCAGCTGTGCCTGTAACCTACAACATTCTACAACATTGACCTGTTAAGTTATGTTATGTCAATGGTTTTATTTGACTGACTGGCTGTCGGGGTGTGTGTCTTTGCAGGACACATTGCAAGGTGTTAGTCAGCAGTTAGCTGAGTTAGCTGTACCATAGGTTTCTTGCTGGTGGGAAACTGGCAAGTGGCCATGAGCGTAGTGGGTGATAAAATGATGTGATTCAGGGCCCGTTTGTTCCAGTGTACTGATCTTTACCAGGTCCTCTGGCCTTCCACTACTTCCTTTTCTGTTCTCTTCCAAGTAGAAGATGTTTCACCTATTGTTTAGTCAGTCTAGTCTATAAGTGTCTATAGTCTATAGTCTATAAACCTATATATTATATAAATATAATTTATACTAGCCCAACCGACCGAAATTCATATAAGCAGGTTATCGCACAAGGCAGTCATAGGTGGGGATATAATATGACTTGACAAGGGTTCAACGGTGCTGTTGCGGCCAGACACCGATGGAGTTCCTCATGAAAGGTGAGTTGCCACGGTCTGGAGAGGACACTCCCGAACCAGTGGGTCTTGCATTGATCCCGGGCTATTCCGTCAGAGTCTTCACAGTACGGTGAAAGCCTCATCCGTAGATGTCGCCAGTGGGTAGGTATCGGTATAGGCATAGATTTTGGATGATTAGAAAATTGCCATGAATCATCAGCGATTTGTGGCATTGAATTTTGCAAGGCATTTTTTTGTCATGCTATTCCAATGCGGGTTGGAAATTGAACGAATTTCGGAATACATACCCGCTGCTACTGTGCATGACCTTGCATCAGGTCGAAAGATTTCGGAATCCCGCAGACACGGACCCGATTATATTTCTTGATGCTGCGGGATGATTTGCCTGCAGTAAGTGCCCAGACTTTTGACCCTTGTCAATGGTATAGTCAATATGTCTGACGGTCTGACGGTCTGACTTCATAATCGTACTAGTCGAAGAACTGACATGTAATGTATGGAGCATGACGAATGCAGAATCCTTTAGATTGCATCAGCAATACATATTTAGACTTTTGAGTCGCAGCTACTGAATTCTGATTCCGACTCTTGGCTTCAACGCCGAGGACCACATCCATCTGCTGATCAAGAGGTTCCAAGATGCTATCCTTGACAAGGGGGGGTCCACAATCTGGGATGCGATCCGATATGCAAAAAATGCAAAACACAATTTCGAACCTGTTTCTCGGTTGGACAGTGAGCACAGCACCCAGCATCCACACTTCAATTGTCCAAGTGGAAAGCTTCTATAGCCTCCAGCCTACAATTGGTCTATATTATTGTACCTGTATAATAGTTTAATATATATATATATAATATATATTTATATTATATTATTTTTATATAATTTATATAACTGATACAACATAAGTTAATTGTAATTATAAATATTTATGTAATATCCATTTCCTTTGAAAAAGGTCCTCGGGGCCTCGGGGTGAAAAGGGTCTGTGGCGCCTATATCCTTTAGATTTTACAAGATCTTGGATCCCTTCCGAGGGTTCTCTCGTGCTCCGCTTCCTAGGCTGCTGCACATGGCACAAGGGTGCCAGCACCTTTTGAAAAGATTGCTACTTGGCTTGGCGGGCGTGTCAAAAGGCTAGAGATTGGGAAGGGTTTGGTCTGGCTTCAGCCGGTTTCAGCCCGACACAGCGCGTTTTTTTGACCCCCAAAAAACGTGAAATCTGACACCGCTTTCGGCAAATTTCAGCACCACTTTTTGCAAAATCGGAACCAGTCGACTGGTTCCGATTTTGCAAAAAGTGGTGCTGAAATTTGCCGAAAGCGGTGTCAGATTTTGGCCCCAAATTTGCCGAATTTGATGATTTTTTCGGATTTGGGAGATTTTGCAAGTGTTTTTGGTGGGTTTTGGGGCGGGTGGGGGCTGGTTTTGGGGGTGTCGGTTCGGCGGGTTCGGGATGGGGGTTTTTGGGGAAATTTTTCTTCTGGAAATTTTTCGTGATTTGGAAAGATTTTTGGGGATTTGGAGGGTTTGGAAAGATTTGGAGGGGTCTGGAAGAATTTTGAAGGGTGATTTCTGGTGATTTTTACCGCTTTTTGACGCCTTTGGTGAGCACTGGGATGGTTTTTTAATTTTCCGAAAAGTGGAAATGCCTTGCCATGTCATACGGTGTATGGTACTGTGACATGTGGCAATTCCTTTTATTTGATTGGGACTGCGGGCTTCTCAAATTTCAACAGACAATAAGAAGATTTCCCTGGAAAGGGGTCCAGAGTGAAATTGTGTTCAATGTATATGACTGACTTCTGACTTGATTGTGACGAAAACGTTTGGCGAAATCCTGTGTTACATCATGTTGTCGGCAAGCAGCAAACATCAAGAGAATCCAGTTTGAGAATCTCTTTCATATGCAGCCATTTGGTGACAACTTTTGCCTCGGCAGCTAGCCAAGCGACAATTTCCTGCGTCCTTCAGAGATTCTTGTCAGCTGTGCAAGATGGCTGAATCAGGTCCTGAGGTTTCGTTTGAGGTTGCAGCGGAAACCCCCGAAGTGTCATTGCCCACATGGCTGCCAACTTGCCGAACTTGCAAGCAAAAGCCACGCACAGCCGATCGATACCACCCGAACAACGCGCTGCTGCATTGGCCCAAGAGAGGCATTTGCAAGGACTGCCAAGAAAAGGGTTGAAGGGCCCCCCAAAAAATGGGTTTTCAACTTGCACTGGGTTTTCCATCAGATTTCCCAAGCAGGGCGTGAAATTTCTTTAGATTTTGCTGTGCTTAAGCTTTTGGGGGTTCATTGCAGTTTACATATTGAACGCCATGTTCATTGCAGTTTACATATTGAACGCCATGCCATTTACACATTCAATCAAAAAGACCGCCCAGAACGAAGTTTGGTATACTGGTCGACTTAGTGATTTATCGCTGTATGCATGCTGTATGCTGTTTGCTGTATGCTGCACGCAGCTGCAGGAAACTGGTCGCCGAACCCGTGAAGAAGGAAATGAGTGTGGTCTTTGCAATGTGCCTAGGCATTTTCAGGTGAGGAATTCCTCAAGTTGGCCCTATCAAAGCCTGAAATTAGGAGGTTCCAGGCAGGTATATTAAATATACCTGCCAAAAGCGGCTCAACTGAGGCCTTCCATGGCCCAACTATGGCCCAACTAAGGCCCAACTAAGGCCCAACTAAGGTCTTCCATGGCCCAACTAGGCCTCAAAATGCCTCAAGTTGGTCCCATCAAAGCCTTAAGTTAGAAGGTTCCAGCCAGGTATATTAAATATACCTGCCAAAAACGAACCCAGACGTAAGGAATCCTAGAGATTACAGATACCAAGATAGGACTCGGACCCTTGATGCAATTTTACATCATGAACCATGCAATCATGAGGCTCAGGCCAGGAAGTAGTTAGTTTAAGCCTTTGTTTCATATTCGGTCGGCACATTTTTTGAAGGGTTGGAAATTCAAGAAACACAAAAAGTTGAACTAACTCGAATTTTCTTTGATATGTTTGATGGAAAGTTTCGTCTTGGAAGCTTTTCACTGTATTAACTCAGAGGTTTCTCTGCGTAAAGTTCCAGAAGGTTTCTGCAACACCTTTGACGGCTAAAATGCCTTCTTTGAGGGTGGGAAACCAACAGGAACATTGCTAGTGAAGATAAGCTGAACACATGGGCCCAACATAGGCTTAAGAATGCCCTGCACATTGTGGCCGGGGAGCTTCTCTGGTCTCTGGCAAAGGTCACTCGCATGCGGAATTTTGGTGGCGTATCCCAACCAGATCTCCATGCTGTCATGGAGTCCAACCAGGTGCTGTTCTGTTGTCGTTCGCAGATTTTCTTTTAAAGTTTGACAGTTTGACATCTCGTCGCCTATCGTCTTCTACACCGTGCACCTCATGTAATGTTAACATCAACTTCCTTCGAAAACTGAGAGATTGAGATTCTTTTGCCAGCTTCTCGATTCTTGTTAATTTCCTTTCTCCATCCGGGTCACTGCTGCAGGACTGCTATGCAAAATGGGAGGAAAAGCGAACCGAGAATTGCCTCCAGGACGATGCACGTAAACGCAAGTTCGAGAAGTGTGACCTGGACACATACCGTTCCGAAGAAGCCTACACCAACATTTTCCAGAAGGGCAAGGCTGAACCGATCGGTGCCTTTTTAGAAGGGAAAGGGTATGACTTGCAGACCATCGGCAATGAGAAGAAGCAAATGAAGTTTGTTACAGAGGACTCTCCTTAGCACCACAACCTTTCCTTTCCAGCATCGTGTAGCAGCATGGCCAGGTTTCAACTTAAACTCGGATTGTCATGAGGTTGGTTTGCCATTTCAAAACGTAGGCATCAAGCAGTGCAGAATCATGTGGCATGGCCATGACCATATCATGGGCCATACTGGGCCACATATTTATATATCGTACAGAATCAATCATACAGCATATCAATATCACGCATCCACATCCTTTTTGTCAAACAATATCTTCGGACCTGTCTTTGGAACACAGTACCGGCAGAGCATGCTGGTGTACTTGTGAGGAGCTGGGCCTGTCTGTGCACAGCGACAATGGGGAGCTGGTTGTGGTCACTTTGACAGGTGAGAGAGAAGTCCAAGTGGGCACTAAGCAGGCCGCTGGCAAGATGAAGGCGGGGTATTGGAGAAGGTGCGGGTCGTACTCAGTAGTGGCTACAGATAATGTTTGTGCGTCTTGAGTCCTAAGTCCTAAGATTCAGTCTTACTTCAGCGAGTTGTGAGAACCAGGGCTGATTAAACTGACGGTTCATTGGTTTCCTGTGCCTGGCTGTCCTTTCCGAGCGTGATCTGTTTCATATGCAGAAAGCATTGAATACTATCATATCATTCATCTTCAAGAACTCAGAGCCAAGAACAGTGATTTTTTCGCGCTTCAGTTTTGAATCCTTCAATGGCAATTTCCAAAACAACCTGAAGCTCGATACCTGTGGCTTCAGGTTCATCACCATGATGGCGGACAAGCTGCGAAAGCTTCTTTTGCCCAGTATCGTGAAGGCGTTCATGGCATTTCGAAGAATTTTTGCAAGGCAGAGGAGGTGGAAGAGAAGGTGAGGGAACATCGTTCCAAACAAGCTTTGCAAGAGATTCTGTCAGATGTCGGTCTCGATGGACAGAAGGATCCTGCCGCAGAAGAAGGCGGCGCTGAGTCTGAGGACGAGGACATGGGCTTTGATGACCACAATCTGAAGCCTGTGACTTCCAGTGCTGGAAGCGGGGTGCCACCGGCATTGAGAGGCAAAGGCAACCGCCAGTGTCCCTCACCTCGTGGCCGTGGACGAAGCCTTGCTGAGAAGCAGCCTGACGAGTTTAAGGTGACATCATTGTGCCGACAAGGTGATGATGGCGGCGCTCACCCAGAAATTCCAGTTGCAAAAGGAAAAGGGAGAGGCAAAAAAGGTGGGAGATCAGGCGATGCCTCGGCCAAGGTTGAGAAGCTCTTTGAGGAGAAGAAGGAGTCGTTCAGTGATTCTGCTTTGTGGCAGGGTGTTGTGAAGCGGAGGGCAGTCCAGATCGTGAGCAAGCAGCTGGATGAGGCCGCGCAGAAGCTCGTTGGTGTTTCCGAATTTGCAGGCTTGGTTGAGAAGATCGTGAACTTTTCTGATTCCCTGTTGGAGAAGTTCGACTTCTTTGCCAACCTCAAGAAAGACACGTACTTCTGCACAGCTTTGCCAGATGACCGTGCTGAGTTGCTGGCGACTTTCTCCCCGCACTTGGTTGCTCAGATCTTGGTCCACGTCACCAACGCATTTCTCAAGGATGTTGAAACTCAGGAGCAGGGTAAGGGAGACAAAGGTTGAATTTTGAATCCTATTGAAAAGCGGGGTCGCCATAGCTACCCACAATTTGATCCCCACCCGTTTTTGAACATGTGCAGTGATGTGACGCTTGGTCAACTAGTGCTGCAGGACCCCAGATCACGCATTGAGAATGCCTTGCGGGTCGCTTCTTTTGCTAAGTCTCCTTGCGTGTCCGTGCACCACTTCGTAAAAGCCTCCAGCAATGCCAATGCCAACCAGGCAGCTGCCAATGCGTGGAAGAGCGCGGACAGCTTGCAGCAACAACTGGTCAGTATCGTTCTTGACCGATTGTTCAAGTTGAAACCAGAGAAGGCGAAGGAGTGTTTGGCGCTGCTTGGCAGCACAAACAACGACGAAGGGAAAATTTGGAGAAATAGCCGCTGAGTTCACCCCTAGTCAATACTTGCCTGTTCGCTGTGGAAATTTGATTTAGAGACTTGACAAGACAAGACTGATAGTTAGAAAATCGCCAGCCTGAATCCTGAATCTAAAGAAGAAACTTTTCGTGAAGCACTGAATCACTGTCACCTTGATTCTGCCCTTCGCAGGTTTCTGCCAAAGGAACTGGACCTTGGCATTGAAGTGAGCAACATGCCTGCGGACTTTGATGTGGGGAAGCCAACTCTTCCAGATCCAATGGGCGGGATGCTTCCAAAGTATTCGAACCGGGTTGCGTTCGATCTCATGGTTGCTCGCATTGTGGGGTCAACGAATTTCGAGGCCAGTTGGGCTTCAAGCTTTTTCAAAAAAATTGACTGAGTAGCGGCAGTAGTACTACTAGTACTGCAGTACTACTACTACTACTACTACTACTACTACTACTACTACTACTACTGCTACATATTTTATATTTCCAGCATTGGCAGTGTTTGCCATCAGGCAGATTTCACATTTCTGACTGGGTAAACCATAGGTTTTGAAATTTAGAATTTAGAAATACTAAAGATTACCCCCGAACCTCTTGGCTAGGCTAGTGCCTAGTGCCACATAATTTTGGTTGGCCATGGCCTTGCTCAGTGGGAGGCAGAGGATCAAAGTACGAGATTTCTGGCAAAAGCGGTCTGCGATCAGAAGTCAAATTGCTCAGAGAAACTCATGCAATACTTCAAAGCAGGATCACCCAAGCAGCTTGCCATTACTGGGAAATTTTGAGAGCCGTGATGCTTTGTCATTTTGGGTTTCAAGTTTCAATCGATTGAACATTAACCCGCTTGTAGCTCTTTTCCTTCCCTCTGGTGATCGTATCACTGCACCCAGAGGCAATGGTGGCATGTGATGGAGAGATCTGCAAGCAGCCTCGTGCCACCCCTGGCCCTCACATCCAAAGCTGCAGAGCTTCTCGGGGTCGTTCGTGAGATCAAAGTTCCGGACAGCGGGGAGTCAGCTCTGGACCTCTGCCGACGAGGTCAGTTTGTTGGAACGCTCATGGAGGCCAGTGGGCTCATGATGTCTGCCGGTGTGGCTCCAGATGATTCGGTGGTCAATTTGAGGACGTGCCTTGACAATTTCGATAAATCCTTCCGAGCTCATGGTGGCCATGCAGTCCAGCTGGTTGCAAAAGGCGTGTCATTTGAGGCGATTTGCAGCAAATCAGACTGTAGTCTTTTGGCGTTGGATCAGGAGCCTGTCTTCAAGAATCTCTTGAAGCTTTTCAAAACCTTCAAGGCCGGCCAATTTCGAACATGCCCAAAAAACCCAAAAACATTGGAATAGATGCTGGTCAAGTTACGGTGTAAAGCAAAATTTTGACCAGCAATCAGTGGAAAAAACACAAGATCGAACATGAAAGCCACCTGGCTAACACTGAATTTCGTTTTTTCCATTTTTTTTTGCAACAGGTTGCTGACTGGATGATGGTTAACGAAGCAGCCGCAGAGCGCATTTCCAAAGCGATCACGGATGCTGCCAAGCTTGTGCAGGCTGTCTCAGCAGTAGAAGCCAAATTGACCGTTGAGACCTTTACGGATGCTGCTACACGCATCTACAAGTTTTTGCAGGCCAAAGCCCACCGTGTCGTCAAGGATGAGCTCGCTGAGGGCGGCTTGGCTTGTATTAGAGCCAGCCTGTGGATGCAGGGACCTCAATGTCATCATATATCATATATAATATTTTAGCTGATTTTTTTGGGATGCTATTGTACAATTATGTTCATCTCATCTTAAAATTATACCCTTTGTTGAATTAATTTTAGATATATTATTATTTTTTTTATTATATTATTTAATATAAGATTGCATTTCGTCCCCACAGTTTTCGCGAAAGCTTGGCTGCAAGGTATCGAGGCAACGCCGCAATGTCTTCGGAATTTGGGCACCAGCCTGGAAAGTCTTGAGGCCACATCTGGCATGGCAACGGGATGGTGCAAGTCGCTTGTGGCCAAAGGCTTGCAGGGCGAACTGTTGGAACTGAGCTCGTCTGTCAGAGCTTCGCTCGGGAAATCCGTGGAATCTATGATCAGAACTGTGCAGGTCCTCAACGCCTATCATTTGGAGGAGGAGAGGCGCCCGGCCATTTTCTTGGAAGGCGCCTACACCGAGACGACTGTGATGAAGGATGGCATCCTGGCATTCCATGATGTGTGTTCTGCTGTTCTGGAGAACCTGCCAAGTATGGATCCTGCCCTGAAGATCTTGCGTGGCAATGTGATTGCAACCATTGCTCGCACCGCCCAGCTCCTGGATGACTCCAAGAAGGGGGTTCAGCTCTTCTACGGGGACGCATCCAAGATCCAGGATGCCATGAAAGCTGGCGATGAGATCGAGGAGCTTGTCAAAAAGACAGCAAATCCCAAAACTGTCGAGAAGTGCATTGAAGGCGAGGAGATTTTTTTTTACACTTTGATTATCACAGTGCCAGGTCAAGGGGTGGCCGACCCTAACTTCAAACAATCTCAAGGTTTGAAAAGGTTACCGCCCAGTTTTTTCGTTTTGAATCAAACCACGGCCCCGGAGGCTTAAAGATCTTGGGCGAGCTAGAATCCAATGCTCTTTGGCTTCTCTCCTGGAAGGATGATTTGCTCAAGGATGAGGAGGTCCACTCATCCCGCGCCCTGGAGAAGTTGCAGCTGGCCTCAACAGCAGCACCGCATTGCCAACAGCTTTCCATTGCCTTGTATGCTTTGATGGTTGGCGACTTGATTGTGAATGCCAAGGACGACCCTGCAGAGCACTATGCAGATGTCCAAGCCTTTCGCAACTATGCGTCAACTGCCCTTAAGCTCGCCAAGAAAGACATCCCCGTGGAGCTCACCAGTCGCTTTGACAAGTTGAGCAAGGACCATGGCTCGGGGGGGAGAGGGATATGATAATTGGACTCGCAACATTTGAGGGCTAGTGGAATTAGACTAGCTTGAAACCTGAGAGTGCACCATCACTGCATCACCCTTGTCAATGACCAATCAAGCCGTACCTTGCCCCAGGACACTGCGCAGAAGGCGCAGAAGGCCAAGGAAAGCAAGAAAGACAGTGAGATTGAACAGATTGACAAGAGTCTGAGTGAACCGACCGGCAAGGGTAGTTCACGCAGCAAGAAGGGCCAGGAGGCAACGGCGGAGACTCCAAAGACCCCGAAGGCTAACAAGACCCGAAAGGCAGCTGCTGAGGAAAAGAAGGCCGCGAAGAAGGCCAAGAAGTGACGGAATAATGACCGGTTGTGAATGTTTCATTCACTTGTCAAGAACGATCGCTTGAAAGGTGTCCAGGGTAGTATTGAGACCCTGTATACAATTGCAGCAGGAGTTCAGCTGGTTGCCAGCATGCTTAGCTGTGGCTTCAGTCATTATTGTTATATTATTATTAGTAATTTTCGGGTTCATCTGCCTACTACTCCCGACCCATATCTATTTCTTGGTGGTGTATGGTTTGGTCTGATATTGAACTGAAAATTTCTGGCAGTGTTACGCTATGCTTTTCTGCGTCAGTTTCTCCTGCAAACGTACAGCAGTATACAGAAGGCATGTAAAAATACAAGCCGGCGCCAGAATGGCACCTTTACTTGAACGGTGCGACTGTTGTTTTCTGCCCCGGGGCTACTTCTGTTCACAGCAATCATAATCATAATCAAGCATTGCTTACGTGGCCTTTGGTTTGTGAGAAGCCTTGGGGCTGTTTTGAACGCCTGGCACATCACTTTTCGAGCGGTCTGTGGGGCCTGCAGTGTGGTTTATGCTAGGCTGGGCTGCAAAAAGTCCTCCCATAAACAGCCTTTGGTTTTGATTAGTTCACAGCAGGCCCCCCTTGAGTCATGAGACTGGCGCCTAGAGTAAGGCCAAACCGGTGCAACAAAAAGAAACCCGTTGTCAAGTTATCAGTTATTCATCAGTGATCAATGTCAAAAGTCAAAACTAAAAAGTGCAATCGGGGTCGTTGCGCGGCGATTCCCAATTGGTTTTGCTAAAAGTTGGTGGTTGAGGCTTCTGGCCGCATGCGGGAGCAGATGACTGAAGCCCGCAAACAGCTTGGTCTTTCTGAAGCAGATGAATCGACCTACAGAGAGTGCCAATGCTAAGAATGGGGGGATAATTCGGAATGAATGAATGAATGCTGTTCCCTGGCCTAGAAGGTTGTTAGTACGTAAGTATGCAGAGTCGGAGTTCTGAGATGATGAATCTTGGTGGACACATTTTCTGTAAATAGCAATTTCACTCATTGATCCTTGGCTTGGCACCCTCCCAGGTATACTTTGCAGTGCCGGAAGAAGGATGTGAATTGGGGAATTGGCTTGAATGCCCGCGAGGCTGAGCAGCTGGACCTGATCTGGCATCTCACCCCTGCTGCTGGGATTGAATTGCGCTAAGGACTGTAGCACTTGATTTGAGCTGCTGCCCAGCCCCTTCATTTGATTCTGCTTCAATGTGCAGCATTGCGATGTGTTTTGCCCAAGCTTTGTGTTGGGTAGGTTACCGTAGGTTGTGTTTTTAGGCGTCGTAGGTGCCTTCCGCATTGGCACAGCTTGATCATGTCCAGCCCTGGAAATGTTGGCGAAATCGTTGAAGAAAGCCTTGGGAGCCCAGATGTGATAGTGACAGTGCCAGCTGAAATTTCGAGTTCCGAACACTCTGTGGGTTTGCCACGGGACATGGAGGTTGAGGCAGTTTTGGCAGCTGGTGAAGAAGATGATCTCGATCCTCCTTCCCCACGTCTTGACTTGAGGCGTGGCCGTGCACACGAGAATTTAGATGATGTGATGATGGCGACACCGCCTGCTACTGGTGGAGATGTGGCTGAAGGGCCCTTGCCTGTGGCTCACACCGATGAGGGGAATGGGGGAAGCACTAGCACAGACATGGATTTGGATGTGGAACCTGGTCCGAGTCCTACCTCTCAATCTTCGTCCCCCTCTGATCCCAACATCATCCCAGTGGCACATTCGCAGGGCCCTTTGCCGGATCCAAGTCCTGCTGGTGGGCGTTTTCTCACGGTGACTTTTGTTTCGACATCTTGGTACCAAGTTACGGTCGATCTGGAAGGTAGAGTCGGTCCAACTGCAAGGGCCAATTCTTCGCACCGGGTCATGTCTCATGTGCATGGTGGATGGTAGTTCGATGGTGTCTATCTACCTTTTGGCAGCTAGCAAGAGCAAAGCTCTGTTTTTGGTTGGTCATTTTGGCCAGTGGCTAGGCTTGCCCCGAAAGAGTTTTAACTCACCATGAGTTTCCAGGGCGTGATCTCGTATCAGAAATCTCACCGTATGCAGCTGACTGATCAAAGGAGAATTCGTGAGCAGTCTTCAGCGGCGTTTTGCGGTATGTAAAGATTTGTAGAGGGATGCTGGAAGCATCTGGAAAAAATAAAGCAGGATGACTGAGCCAAAGCCAGAGTCAGCCAACTTTTGTGATCAGCTCCAACCTGCTAATGATCTAATGCTGCCACAACCACCTGTTCCCTGAGGTAACTAAGTAACTTTCATTTCCTTCCGTCCTAGGCAGATCAGCGAGGGTCCTTGGTCACAGACGTGATCAAATCACTTCCCAGAAGATGCATTCGCACAGATGGTCTCAGCCCAACGTTTCGAGGCAGCAATTGAGCGTTTATTTAGAAAGAAAGCTCTTAGTGACAGCAGTTTTGACCAAGGCTCACGACGAATAGCAAGATCTATGATTTTCAATCTGGAGCTCTGCTGGATGGACCCGCACTGCTTGCTCTGTTTGGGTCTGAGGGCCACTCACCAGACATTGACATTGAATCACATGTCGAGTCGCAGGGTCAACCTTGTGAGCAGAGTTTTACTGAAGGCACGGGTTCCGTTTGGACTTGCTCAACATGGGCAAGACCTTCAAGCCCAGCCTCTACCGCATGCTCTCAGGACAAGACTTGGTGACAGTGATGTTTGCCATTACTATTGGGGTGCCAGTGGGGCATATTGGGATGCAAATTGGCATTTTTTTTTGCTCAGACGCTCTGCGCTCACCCTTGTCGGGTCGGTGGATTTTGTCTGCCTCCCATATATAACATACCTTGATATAAGATGATATGATATAATAATATAATATAATACTATTATATTATATTATATTATATTTATATAATATTATATATAATACTATCGATATTCTGTTATTTATTATTTATTATTTGATATTACGTACATAAATAATGTAAATAAAATTTAATATATTATCTAACTTCTGTCCTTCATGCCGTCCTTGTTTTCTGCTGTTCCTTTCCTTCTTTCTGAACCATCCCTCCATTCCTTCCGATTCCTCCTTTCTCTCTTCCTCACGGGCCGGTGCAGGTACGATGTGGCGAACTACAAGACCAAGATCCTCCGGGAGTTTGGTTTCGAGGTGATCTCTGTGTGTGTGTGTGCCTTTTTCCTGTCTCTGTTGCCTTGCTTCCCGGTGCCTTCTTGCCACCGACCGACTTTCCTTCCCACCCTTTCCCTTTTCGCCCTCGTCATCCTTTCCTACCCAACCTTTCCGACTTCTTGCCATGTCTGATGATAGATGTACAGTTTTTACAGTAGAAAGTAGAAATGTAATAGTACATTATATTTATATGTATGATATAAATATATGTATAATATATATTATATTAGATATTTTTTATGTTATACTATATTATATATATAAATATATTTATGTAATATCTAAATATAACATTATAATAAGATAACTTACATCATATCATAACATTCATTTGTAGGCGTCTTGGATGTCACTGAAGCGTAAAACGAGCGCGCGTCTTCTACACGCCGACGCTGTTTCCTTCTTGGACTTTTTAAGTCCTTCCTTACGCGGGTAGGGCCCAAGCGCAAACTGCACAACTAGGTAGATGGTAGCTGCTTTTTTCTAAGTAAGTTCAAGTAAGTAAATAAGATTTTTAAATAGGATCAGGATGCGTATTTTGGCGCACTTTCTGAGGGAACGGAAAAGGTGGCATTTGAAAAAAGAAACCCTCTAACCGGAGGGTTGGATATTTGATATATTGTTTGTTGTTTTGGAGGATGATAGTAGAACAGAACTAGTCAACTAGTGTATGAACCCATGATACCCCACAATTCGGTGGCTGTGCTACAAGCTATATACAAGCGATGTTTTTCAAGTATATAATATTTTTGCAAGCCTATCATATCCTATCATATCCTCCTGCTTTTAGAAACCAGCGGGGCTCAAAAAACTATGCTTTTTGGATTTTTTGCGTGAGGAAATGCGATGTCAGTACCCGTGGTCGGAGCTTTCTTGACTGCGGCATCTTGGCGGAGAAAGCAATCTGTTTGGGTTCCAGCGACCTGAGTTCTGAGGCAACGTACTTTCATTCCAACTCTACTTGTTATAATTTCCTGTCCGCTTTGGGATTTTACATTTTCCTGGCCTTAAGGCTTTGCTGACCACAGGGCTGCGTCCTTGCTGGACGATGCAATATTTGGGTGACGTTCTGATGAAGTCCAGACCTGATTCTGTGCTCTCATCTGTTGAAGATTCCGAGAGTGCGGATTCTGATAGTTCTGTGTAGAATGGCAGGGCTGTTTCACTTGAACAGTTTCACTGTTTCACAGCATCTTGGGCCAGAGCGAAAGGGTTGTGACTGTGTTCTCACAGGGGAGTGTTCGTTGTTGTAAACTGTAGTTGTAGCAATAGAACATTGCAGTAGATAATGGTGGCTGCAATTTGGTTCCTCCTGAGCATTGACTTCCCATATGTTGGGACTGGTTGGTTGGTTTTTGACATCCTCCACCCCCCCAGAATTTTGACACCGTTTTTAACACCACAAAAAGGCGTTTTTAACACCACAAAAGGGATTATCAAACACCAGGCCCAAACACCAATTTTTTGATTTTGAACACCACATTTTTCCCACATTTTGTCTTTCCAGCACCACTTTTTCATTTTCCAGCACCTTCCGTGCACCGCCCCCCCCCCCCCCGAGCCCACGTTTTAAGCCAGCTACGGGCTGGACAACATCATCTTGAATCATCTTGAATCCACTGGTTTTTCAATTTCAACATATTTCAACATCACCATGGCGACCCATGGCATCCCATGGAGACGTTGTAACCGTAGGTTGTCCCTATGCCCCAGCGCCGACGAAGCCTTACGGCGCCTGGCTGTGAAGCAGTTGCTGGGCGGCCTACTGAGATGGCTCTTGGAGCCTTGGCTGCAAGATCTGCAAGGTGGGCCCCCTGTAGCTTGGTGAAGATAACTAGCTAGTTGAGATGTTGATGGTTGAAAGAAAGAACTCAATAAATAACTAAATAACGGATGTTTACAGATGTTTTGGCTGTGGTATACTTATAAGATCTTATAAGTTATATAGATAACTAATTAGGTTTATGGTATTTATAACGATAGTATTCATGTTTTCTTTCAAGCAACTTATAACTGGGTGCCCCACATTGTATGGGGATAGCATGGCTCTATCATGGGAGTATCTAGATCAAATCTACCTGGGTTAAGGTGATGGTTTCCCACTGGATTATGGAGGGAATAGCTTTGGGAAGCCTTGGGTTAGGAAACCTTCATGTCCCAGAAGAAGGGGCGACAAGGACCAATCAATATATTGCTTGGTCAATAGCTGCGAAGACGCTGCGAGGAATATGCATTTCTGACGAGCAGATTTTGGCATGTCTTCCCGGATGTCAGAGTGGATTTCGCTATGGAAAACCACCATTTGCATAGGTAAATCATCGAACCAAATGGGCCATCTATACCACTGCAATACCACAGGATACCACAGGGTATGACTCGACATTCTGGGCACAGAAGTTGAATGTTCTGGTAGGGAACAGCAATTCTCTAGTTGGTGGTTTCATGTCTTTCTTCTGTTTGGAACCCTGATCGTTTGGTCATTGCAACCATCCCATTGAATTACATCCCTGATTTTCTGACTCCAGATGAACTCCAATTTAACTGTGAGACCTCCATATGTTTTGGAGTGAATCTTCACAGTTCACAGGTTTGATCATGTTTTTTTTTTACTTAATTCCATTTAAATCCACATAAATCCAATGAAATCCACTAAAACTTCCATTTTCCCCCTTGGTTTTCCGCGTCCCAAAAACCCAGGACGCTCGGCCGGAGCCGGACCGGGAAGGCGAGGAGGTCTGCGGCTGCAACTGCCCAGTGCCCTGGAAGGCGGCCGCCTGTTTTCTGGAACGACTCTTGGAGCCCAAGGCGCATTTGGTGCAGTGCCTGGGATGCGCCATGGGACCATGGGATCGTCGCGGCTGGGGGGTTTCCCATGGGATGCGCCAGGATGATTCAACCTGAACCGGAAACCGATTTTCCATTTTCCCATGATCATGGGAAATCATACGGGGCTTTCCGGTTTCTCAATTTTCCCGAAAAACCGACCAATCCATTGACATTGGATGATTGGGATGTCGGTTGGGAAAAGAATTGATGGGATTTTGTCGGTTGATGGGAAACTCATCTATCTGTAACGGTAACGAGGCAGTTGAATGTAGCGGTTAGTAAGGTTAGTAGCTGGGGGCTATAAGTTATAAATATTTATAACTGGCTGGTGGTTTGGAACATTCTTGTTATTTGTCCATTTCATATATGGGAAGTTCATCATCCCAACTGACGTACTCATATGTTTCAGAGGGCTAGGTCAACCTCCAACCAGATAAGTTACAAACCAATGATGGGATAATCCATGTACTAAGTGGGATGATGCTCCAAGTACCGAGCCGCTCGGAGCGTTTCCAAGTTTCCGAGTCGTGTGCTGGGGTACCTTTCTTTGGATGATTAAAAGCAGGTGTAACTCAACTTTAACTTGAAGATATCAAGAGTTTGTATATTTTGGAGTTTAGACATGACCTTTTTTTGGGGTTGACCGATACTTGCAAGCACCCGTTCAGGCTGGATATCCCATGATGGCGAAAAATATCCCGTTTCTGAGGGCAAACCAATGACTAGCCAGAATACCAACCGCTTGGACCCAAACTGCCACCAGTCAACCTTTTGTAATCTGGGTTTGATGTTTACCAAAATGCATATAGTCATATTATATAATCATATATATATAATATAGTTACATATATACATAGTTATACATATATAATTATATATTAAATTATATATATATACATACATATATATATATATACATATATATATATACATATATATATATACATATTCATATACATGTGTATATATCCTCATGTTTAGTTGACTAATCAGACTTATTAAGAATGTCGGCCAACAGTACCCAGACACATTGCCAATTAGCAGCAAGTAGCCATCCCCGAGCAACTCAAAATGGGCCCTGAAAATGTGAGTAGCCTAGAGGTGCCTAGTGGCTTAAGGAGAAAACACATGGTCAGTATCATGTTTTCGCACCAAAAAATATACCCTCTCTCTGCAGGAAACCCGGTATTTTGTCTGACCAATTTCCGGTGTCAAAAACCTAAACCTTTTTTGTCAATGCTAAATGTCTAGTGGGTTTATCCAGATCCTGCCATGATTTTCTGCTGCATTCTGTAGTTGATGCTCTTAGTTATTCACCATTCAACACATAAGTTCATCTCATCTAATCTCATCCACCAGGTGAACCTTTCAATACGGAGGTTTCCTAAAATGGTGATACCCACAAATCATCCAAGTCATGAGATTTTGTCAAAGTATCAAAACCAAAACAGATTTCGGGGATCCCCCATTCATTTGGAAACCCACACACACATATACGTATATACATATGTATAGATATATATATATATATATACATGATTATATATGTATACATGTATATACGTTCCCGAGGCAAGAGTGCGAGTCCTGGCCGGATACTGTGCAGCTCTGTCAGTGGTTGACCCTCTCGGTGCGCGACTACCACGCCACTCCGCTGGGGCTGGTGGCGCTGCTGCAGATGCCTGGCGTGGCAAGGAAGGCCATGAAGAGTCAGGCGAAGGCGAAGCGCTTGCGGAGCTGGGATTGGGTTGTGGTGGTTAAAGGGGGATGTCTTTAAGCCATTTATATATATATATACACATTATGTATATATATATATATACATAATATTTATATATGTATATACATAATATATATATATAGTGATAAAACTGATTAAGAAGCTGCTGGGGTATATAGGAGCATCATACCATGAATCGTATTTGGTGAAGAGTGGGAGGATGAAATAACTTTTGACCAGTGAATAACCATAGTTATAATCCAGTTATGATAAGTATGGTTATTAAACAATAGAGCCAGTTTATCCCACTTGGTAACGGAATTTATTTGTAAGTGTTTTTTGTTTTTAAATAACCGTTAATTACCATAGTTATAAGCCAGTGTTTTTGGGTGCAAGGCCACTGTTTTTGGGGACTTAGTGGGATGATCTTCAAAGGAAGGCCGGACTGGCTAAAGGAGGTGCCATGGGGATTTGTTGGGGAAAAGGGATGGCCTAACCCATCACAAGAATGGTTTCATGGATATAATATAGAACATACTGGAATGAATATAACTGTATATACATATATATATATTTATAATATGATAGTTGGTTGCGTCCAAAAAGTGCATATACCCCCGCCAAAAAAAAAAAACTGGTTTTAATCGGGGATGATATGTGGTTAACCATCACAAATTAAGTTAGCCCATTTTGAGACAAACCTGGAAGAATTAACTTCTGGATGATATGGTAACCTGGCAGATCCAAGAACAAACACCCTTATTGTTTTGGAGTATGGTGTTTATATGTGTTTATTCTTAAGTTATTAAGTTCCAAAATGGGGGTAAAAGGATATGAAGTATTTTTTTGGTTTACCAATTCACATCATCATCATCATCATCATCATCATCATCATCATCATCATGCCTGTATCATGTTGGATGATGATTCAGTTTTCTATCATTGGGGATGCCAGAATGTTAACCCAGGATGTTTTTTGGAGCCCTGGTGGCTGGCGCTGTTGATACAAGATGACAAGATATGACAAGCTGTTGCTACGCTGAGTGTGGAGACATGTTTCCACCCTCGAAGGGTGAATCACAAGGGTTTACCCTCCGGTTTTCATGGAAAACATTTCATGGAAACAGAGGGGAAACATGGAAACATGGCGTCGCCCATGCCCATCGCAGGTACACTTTCGCTTCATCACGAAATCTGTGGCTTGTGAATTGTCCCATCATGTCCCATCTAGGAACAGTGGCCGAGAATCTATGAAGTTGATATATACTTGTGGCTTGGTTTTTTCATCTACTGTACCACATACTGGGATCAGTGGCCTCTGTCATGCCGCCAATATTTGGGAGTAGGACAAATTAGTGTAATTATCTGAAAATTGATGATTTAACCCGCAACGTTGTTTTTTTGCAGGGAACATCACGATTAACTATCAGATTTTGGGTAGCCGCATTTTCAGACAAGCCCCCATACTTGGTAAATCATCATAAATCATCCATAAACGGAGCATTTTCCATAGATATGATGTTGAATTACCAGAGGGTGGAATTATCATGACCACCAACAACTAGAGGATAATTGAACATAGACGACCATGATTATACCAC